TTTTTATATCTAATTATAAAATTTTCAATTTAAAAAATGGTTAAAGTCGAGTAGATCTGTAAACATACGAAAATCTTGAAAATGGGACAGTGTAGATAATATGTTGTAAAATGCACTATTTATGAGACTTAAAATCTTTTTTTTTTTCATGGTCATACATCTCAATGTCGAGATGATCAATCAAAGGGTTTTTCAACATTAAAACTATCTTTTCCGATGGATTTTTTAGGTGCATCCGTAGCTGTAGAGGTAAGGTTGCAACCTTATATAAACTTTTTCCTTTACAAAATGGTGTGGTTTCTATATGGTTGCAACATTCAACAATCCAATTAAGGTGCACCTCCAAATTTTATCATAACATATAATTTTGGTATAAATAATTTTTATGATTGTTTGAAAACCTATCATTATCCCTAATTATAAAATTTTAAACTTCAAAACTGGTTAAAATCAAGTAGATCTATAAACATATGAAAATCTTGAAAATTGATTGTTTAGATAATGTGGTGCAAGATGCACTATTTATGTGACTCAAAATTTTTTTTTTTTTTATATTCATATATCTGGACGTCGAGATGATTAATTAGAGGGTTTTTCAACATTAAAACAACCTTTCTGATGGATTTTTGAGGACATTGGTAATTCTACATTTTAAGGTTGCAACCCTATATAAACTTTTTCCTTAACAAAATATGCATGAATCTCCTTTTTTTTTTTTTAGCCTTTGAGATCTTTTCGGGAAGTTATATTGCCAAAATTTTGATCTTATAAATATGTTACCACTTAGGGTTGTTTTGGGCGTGAGTGGATAATATGCTCATGTGGGATCATTAATATTTTGGCTTTACCGGTACAATTCCTCTTGATATTTTGACTATTTCCCTTTCCATGCAGGATGGACCACATTTCTACAATATGGGGTCCACATGTATAAAGCCCCTGAAGTTTGGAAGATGGAGGACAGGCTACCTAGAAGAGATAAATCTGGGTGATGAGTCTAACCCTAGACCGACCTTCATTTCGGCTATCATGTCGCCTAGCTAAAAAGAGGCTTATGCTACCTTACTGTGAGTAAACTGAGACGTCTTCACATGGCACTATCATGAGATGCCCAGTCTTGACCCTCAGATTGCAGTCCATCAGCTCGATATTGACTCATCCTTTAAATTTGTGAAGCAAAAGTCAATAAGGTTTTGATCTGATCTTGAAATTCAAATTGATGCTGAAATAAGCAGACGCAAGGAAGCATGTTTCATTCAAGAAGTCAAATACCCGAAGTGGTTGGCCAATGTTGTGCCAGTTAAGAAGAAAAATGGGTAAATCAAGGTTTGCATCGACTTTCACGACTTGAATGTTGCATGTCCGAAAGACGACTTCCCATTGCCATTCACCGAAATGGTCATTGACACCACGACTCACTGTCAAGCCTTCTCCTTCATGGATGGATACTCGGGGTATAACCAGATAAGTATGGCACCTGAAGATGAGGAAGTCATTGTTTTCTTGACTCCCGAAGGAGTTTTCTGTTATACGATGATGCCATTTGGGTTGAAGAATGCAGGTGCCATGTACCAGCAAACCATTACTACCATCTTTAACGATATGCTGCATAAAGAAGTGGAATTTTACATGGATGATCTGGTGATGAAATCAAAAGAGAGGGATACCCATATTCGAGATCTCAAACAGGTATTCGAGCGGCTTCGTCTTCATGAGCTTAAAATAAATCCCTTAAAATGTGCCTTTGGTGTCCGGTCTGAGAAGTTCTCGGGGTTCATTGCCCGGTATCGAGGATTGGAGACGAGCCTGTCAAATCAAGGCAATCCAAGAGATGCCACCACCGACGAATCTTCAAGAGCTCAGGTCTCTTCAAGGCAAGCTTGCTTATATACAGAGATTTATTGCTAATCTCACAGGGCTTTGTGAACGCTTTACACACTTATTGAGAAAAGATGCATCCTTCGAGTGGGATGAGACATGTCAATCAGCCTTAGACTACATCAAAGCTTATTTGCTAAACCCACTGATACTTTCCACGCCTGTGCCAGGGAAACCCCTCATTCTATATGTGACTCTCTTGATGATTCACTTGGTGCACTCCTAGCACAACACATTGAAGAAGGGAAGGAAACCGCCCTATATTACCTCAGTCGCAGGATGCAAGGGGTTGAGAAGAATTACCCCCCGATCAAGAAAATGTGCATGGCTTTGATCTTCGGGGTCCAAAAGCTTCACCATTATTTTCTCACCCATGGAGTCCAACTCATCTCACGGGCCGATCCCATCAAGTTCCTTATGTCATTACCTTGCTTGTCGGGCCGTTTAGCAAAGTGGTCACTATTATTGATGGAATTCGATATTACTTATACGTCGCAGAAAGCCGTCAAAGGCCAAGATCTAGCCGACTTCTTGGCTGCGCACCCCCTGCCGACAGATTCCCCCCTGTCAAGTGACCTCCCTGATGAATAAGTGTTCTACACAGAGCAATCTTATGATTGGAAGATATACTTTGATGGAGCCTTCCAATCAGGACGAGGTGGCGCCGGTGTGGTGTTTTCAACCCCTCAAGATGGTGTTTTCAACCCCTCAAGATGGTGTTATCCCCTTGTCCTTCTCTCTCACAAAGTTTGGCTCGCACAACAAGGCTGAATATCATAAGAGGGCTCGAGATTGCCATTGACCTGAACTTAGAATGGCTTGCCATTTTTGGTGATTCCGAGTTGGTAATACGGCAGCTCAAAGGAATATATAATATAAGGAACGACAGTCTCAAGCCTTATCATGACACTGCTAAGGCCTTGATGGTGCTGCTTGATGATTTTTCTCTCGGGCTTGTTCCCCATAGGTTGAACTCCTAGGTCGATGCCCTTACTAAGCTCGACGCAATCATCCAGGTCGCATCGAGAGAACCCATGCATATATGGGTCGCAGAATGGAGACATATAGAGCTGATTGAGGAGGCAGACATAGATGACGAAAGGGTCCTCTTTCCAAAATGCCCTCCTTCCCCATTCGGGGCACTACTTGCTGCCAAAGATGCCCTCAAAGCTGAAAAAGAGGCCAAGCAGGTCCTGGCCCCTGTGCCCGAGAAACAAGAATTGGAATTCTTTGACCCGTTATGTGCTGAGGTCGAACAAGTTGAAGATTGGAGGGAAGGCATAATCAACTTCGTCAAGCATAACCAACTGTCAAATGATCATGTCGAGCACAACAACATACGAAGGAGGTCCACCAAGCACACCCTACTTGAAGGAAATGTCCTCTTTCGATGTTCCTTCGATGGCATCCTTCTTACATGCATTGATATGAAAGAGTCGGGTTGAAGAGGTAACACCGGGATTTGCAGGCTCCATCAGTCTAGCCCTAAGCTTTGTGAGTGGATCCGTAGGTTGGGGTATTATTGGCCATCGATGGTTGTAGATTCCTTAACCCATGTCAAGAGATGTCAAGTATGCCAAATACATGCAAACTTCATTCATCGGGTGTCGGAACCCCTTCACCCTACAATGACGCCATGACCCCCCTCACATTGGGGCATGGATATCATAGGACCTATCGATCCCCCTTCAGCTCTGAGTCAAATCTTCATCCTGGTCGCCACATATCATTTTTCTAAATGGGCCGAAGCAATCCCTCTAAGGTAGGTCTCCGAGATCGCAGCAGCTAGTTTCATGTGGCTTCACATCATTTATCGATTCGATGTACCCGACCGGATCACATTGAATAATGTACCCCAATTAAGAAGT